AAACGTTTAGCTTTGATGGACGATGAGAGGCGTAAAATTCAAGAAAGTTTAGAATATTTGGAAGGTAGACGAGTGCACTGGGCTGATCAGGGTGGTTATACACTGTAGTGCTGGATGTTTGGTGATAATATTTTATAGAGTAGTATGTTTTTTTTTTATTATAAATTTAATTAATATATTTATGTAAAATAAATTGAAACATAAAATTACAGTAATAATCATGTAATAATGATTTTATTATTGGAATGTGTATTTCAATATGTGGATAAAAAATCGAACATTACAATCAAGAGCAGACCAACAAATATTTAGCCCAAATGCCAAAACATCCGAAACATTTCTCCCTCATATTCAGTTCTAGAGAGATCGTTTGATAAATATATTTGAAACGTTATAATAGCGACAAGAATCCCCTAATTTATAATATAAATTATGTCATCTGAAAGTTCAACCTGTTGGGCTTTACTTCAAATTTCAGGAAAACCTGTTGTCTCGGCAACGGCATCTTAATACCCCTAAATATAGACTTTTGCGTACATCAGTATTTTAACCAAAATTCTCTTCCCGCAAATGAAGGCCATAGGAACCTCTCTAATAACCGGGACAAGACAAAGACCGAAACTCTGCCCTATGGGGTAACGGTTCCCGTGGTACCAGATTATAAGAGTCCCTGCTTAAATACAGTATACGTGATTCACTATAAGCGAATGTTTTAAATGATTTGCATATGAAATTTTTCCTGGTAATAATTGATATGATATAATTATGGCAAGAAAAGAATAAAGTAAGATATAAAGTTTACATAAAAGTGAATGAAAAAATTAAGGGAAATATTTTGAAACTACATATTTTGCGATTTTATAAAAAATAAATATAAATAAATCTAAGCAAATATATTTGTAATATATTTTTCTTTTTATTTTCTTTTACCTGATGTTATCTTGATTGATGAATGGATGAAATGAGGAGTATCCAGGAACAATATACATATGTATGTTTTTAGTGTAATGTTGACAAAGATGATGTGTGTTGTGATGAGTAAATAAATTATTTAATGTTTTTTTTTTCGAAAATTTGTGGCAATTCATTAAGAGCACTTGTATTTATAAATATTTTACTTCATAAATGTATAAATAAATTACGGAAGTCTTTACGTTAAAGTTAAGCAAATTAAATTAAAAAAAAAAAAAAATAAAACAAAAAACACATTGACATTGCTTTCAAAGCGATCACAATTCAACACGTAATACAGAACCCGAAAACACTGACTAAACGTTTACGAAATAACGAATTTATTTACGCGGATCATAATGTTCCCATTTACGATGATTAAGCTTGGTAAAGTCTTTGCAATGTAAAGCTATATCCTTTAAATACTTGGAAAGTTTAAGTAGTTCTTTATCGGTGCTACGATTTAAATGTGCCTGACGAAAAGGTCTTATACGTAGACCAGAGCGAGGATTCATTAAGAAATTACGGCGTATGTCGTCAAACATTATAGTATTGGCAGCTGAATACTGAGGATATAGACCCCATATAACACCCAAAGGTTTAACGTCTATAACACCTCTGTCGGGTGTATGAACCGAGATCATGGCATTGGAGTCCAGGTAAAACATTATTTTATAATTGGCATGTGTACTTACACCCAGCAAGCGCATTTTCTCCTCAATCCAACGCATGCCAGTGGCAGACCATATAACTATGTCATAGTACTCGTAAGCACATGTTAGGAATTCATGTAAATAAGGACGCATAAGCTCGGCTCCCGATTCTGCCGATGAACGATGATCAAACAGTGTATAATCTATGTCAAGTACTAATAAATGCTTGTCTGGTCTGGGAGGATTTAACTCGGTTATTTTATACTCTTTAATGCGTTTCTCTACTTTAGCCAAATAAATTGAAGAATTCTCCACAGTCTCCTCTTCGGTTTCATTCTCATCTAAATCATCGATTATTTCGCCCAAATCATCCGGCTTTTGGCAGGCATCCTCGATATCAGCCTCCGTTGAGCCGACCATCATTAATTTAAAATTGGGTTTTAATTCTAAATTACCCAATTTTAAAGAGTCTTCTGCAAGTTTTCCTACAACAAAAAAGCAAATAAAAAACGCGAACAGATTTATAGCCATTTTTTTAAGTTTTCTTAATTATTTCATATGTCTATTTTCTAATATTTTCCTACCTTTGTACTTTAAATTTAAAAGTTTTTGGCGCTCCGGACGCACTTGTGTCTTTTTAAAGATTTCATGCCGCAGCACAGCCACTGTATCTTGGTTGGTCAAATCTGTGATGGGATATTCCTTTGCACTCCATTTAACTACTATTGTTATTTCTTTAATATCACTCATTTTATCTTTTTTACGCTTTTCAAGTATTGTTTTTATATTTTATTAAATTTGCAAATAAACAAATTATTTTTGCAAACAAAATTTTGCAAAAATACAAAACTACCGTAAACCAGAGCCCTGCGCCGACAAATATTAAAAGCGGCGGCGACTGACACTAAATACGTCGGCGGCGGCTTAAAATCGACTGTAAGCCGGCTAAGTTTTCAACTACGTTTAGTTTTTAATTTTTCTACGATTTTAAATAGCAACGTAATCCGAGAGATCAGAAAGTGGGATTTTGGAAGCAAATATATTGTTTATAACAACAAAACAGAGCAAGCTCAAAAGTTGTGTGAGAAATTATGCAGGGATGAATAAAAAATTCTTAAAAATTAAAAACAAATCCTTTCTCCAAGTTTTACTAGGATCTACCGATATTTAACCCTATCCTCCATGTAAAACATATTGCAGAAAATCAGTTTCTAAAAAATTTTGCATTAAGAAAATGATCAATAACGTAAAAACAAAGATTTTTTATTTGTTTATTTACTAACTATACCCAGTGTGCTGTGCTACCCTAAAAGCAATATAAATAAGAAACCCACTTAACGATTTTGATGATTCTAACTACATACAATGGTTTTCCAGATATACAATTTGTTACATATGGAAGATTCCACGCAAATTATTGCAATTTCGCCAATTATTCCGAACGTTAATTAAGATTTTAATTTAATCTATGAAAAATTTGAATAATCTAATAGCTTCAGATATACAAAATTTTGTATTAAATTCATATGGGAAGTGCCAAGCCTCCCATTGAAAGTCCGCCCGTTATTCTCTAAATGTTCTTCAGTAAAATTTGAAGATTCTAGCTCTAATAGTTTCTCAGATATACGAATTTTTCTATTTAATTCAAGCCCCCCAGATGAAAGTCCGCCCTTTTTTCTCCAAAATGTTCAGATAAATATTAAAGTTCTTCGTGCAAAATTTTAAGAATTTACTTCTATCAGTTTCCCAGATAAACGAATTTTTGTATTTAATTCATATGGGAATTATTACCCAAAATGTTTACATGGATGTTAAAGTTCTTCCAGAACAACATCATTTAAAGGGATCACAAAGAGATTGAAAAATATTCCAAAAGTTTCACTTTGAAAACATTATTAGAGTGTATGAAAACTCGCAACTCTAAAGGCAGAATATTTTAGCGGTAATTTATGATTAAAATAAGTTAGAAGTAAGAGTTATATTCGGTAAATCATATGTCGTAAAAAAGCAAATTTTGGAAGTGGTCATATACATATATATATGGACTTTGATCATTAGATTAATAAGAACGTCACCGTGATTTTCGGATTAGGGGCTTAAATGTGGAATTGAATCAATTATGGACAAAGTTCTATATAATTTAAAGTATTGTTTTTAATTCTACCATAATTCTATCATAATGATAACTTTTGGAATGATGTATTAGCTATAAACTGATTTTCTATAAGAGGGTTATATTGGCGGACCGATCCTCCATTATAATACTAATTTGATCAATTTTATTCCGTGTTTAACCATATAACATTGATTTTGGACCAAAACCTTATAATCTGCTGCTTTTTCAACAATTTGGTTTATATTACTTCATTAAATTGCATAAAATATAATATTAATTGATATTAAATCAAATAAAAAATTTCATATTTCTATGAAAAACTGTCTATCTGAAGGTTGTAAAAAAAAAATTCATAGAAAAAAAGCTCTATCTGATATAAAGTTGTGAATAATTCTGCAAATAATGCAAAATTTTAAATTTTTTTAAACTTTTTATATAACAATTTAGAATATGGTCTTAAAAATATATTGTAGAAGAAAAAAATCAAAAATCTTCACGAACTAGCTAAATAAACAGTTTTTTTGCTCTCCTGAAAACTTGTGTTATTTTAGATAGAGACTATTGAATATAGTCCCTCGATATGTATGTACATATTACGAGTCCTTATAGATATCGGAGACTGTTCGTATTTTTATTGAAATCAGTTTTCAGAAGACTTCAAATAAGTTCGAAATCTGAATCTTCAATAATTCTGTCAGACATGATTAATAGGAAACATTCGATCCTATTTAGAATCTGCAAATAAAACTATAAATAACGCTGTTATGAGCAACGTTTTTTTTTATCATTCTTGATTAGTTTTTTTAACAAAAGTTTCTCTTCCGTCCAAGCATTTACATACATGATTGAAATTTATTAGAATCGCTTAAAAATTTTGTATAACACCCATTAAAATTTGTATACTACCGAAAATGGATACATTGTTAATAAGAATAGAATATCGGTTTTATCACAATATTTGTACCTATAAATCTAATATAAATAGAAAACGTATTTCCAACTAAAACATGGATCGGTCCATAATTGACCGTAGCTACTATATAAGGCACACTTCCGAAAATCAATTAAACGAACATAATTCATTAACAAATAATCAGATTGGTATAAATTTCTACACGAATATATTGTGAACATATACAAATCATTCTGTTAAAATTTTTCCGGATAGGTCCATAATTGACCATTGACCAAATCTACATACATATGTATATCTGTATATAGAACCGATATCAACAATAGAACCAATATAAATAATCATAAAATATCGACATATATAAATAAGCACTTGTATGTATTTCATATTTATTTACAAACAGCTTAACTAAATATTTACAAAATTCAAAATACAAATTTACATGTAATCTATTTGATCAGTGTTAATGGAACTGATTAAGGCCTTTCGGCAAGGATTCTGAAACCGAACGAATAAATAAATAAAACTTCACAATTGTATTAACAAATGATAAATAACAAAAAAAAATGGTATATAAAGTTAATGAAATCTATCGACTTGTTAAAATAAAACAATTTTAAATTATTTACAAATAACATATGTAACTGAATATTTACAAAATTCACAGCAATTTAAAAAAAAGATAAATAGCAAAGAATAACAAAGTAAAACCAATAAGAAAAGTTTATGCAATCCAAGGACTTGTAAAAATTAATGACAAATTTAATTTCATACAAATCCTGAAGACTTATTCTTTCGAATTGAAAAAATACGAGATATTTACATAAATATTTTACAAATAACATAAAATATATAAAATATCGACTACAAATTATTATTAATTTATTCGAGGCGTTTTAATAATCTACGCTTTTTACCCGGTAAAGAAGTTCGCGGTGTACCCAACTCATCAGCAGCGGGTCTTTTTCTATTTTCCGTCTGTGTAACTGCTGGGGCCGGTGGTATATGGCCTACTCTAATAAAAGGTGTTGAAGCATGTACCTGTGTTGGCACCATGGGTGTATCAAACATTGAAACATTGTTAACGGCCGGCAAAGGTGGTGTAACTTGCCTGGGTATCACCGGTGGGGCAATTAGTTCAGTATTAAGAGATGTTTTCTTAAAGTTACTTTTGGCGCTGCTATTTTTTAACCTTTTAGTTTTATTTGTTGTATTAGGTTCACTGTTTTGTTTAGCTAATCTCTTGGTAGCATTATAACGCTCTTTAGCTAGTTGCATATTTGTTTTAAGCTTTTTTATAAACTCTTTCTTATCCACCAATTTTAAATGACCTATAAAACCGCGTCCTGTTTTATTTATTATATCATTAGAATCTCTTAAAGCTATTATATGTTTTTTAATGAGTCCTATCCTAGCATGGGATAATGATTCCAGATTGTAATTGTTTAATATAAAACTATAGATCTGTTTTATAGTAACGCCTGTTAGAGGGGTGAGAGAATAAATAAAGATTAAAAGCCAGACTTTAGAAATATAGTTTAAAAGTAACATGTGATGCCTCTATATAGAATACATAAGCTTATCTTCCTTAAAAGAGTTTTATAGGAATAGTTTTTGAATACCTACCTTTTGCCGTATGCAATTCAATTAATGCCTCATCCACCATCTGAGTGGTTTTCTTTAATTTTCTTTTTATCACAACACCTGTATTTGGTGATGCTGTTTCTTTATCCAATTGCAGATCCGAGGTTGTTAAAGAAGTTGGCATTTTTTTACGCGAATTAAATGAAAAACTTATAAAGAATTTTTTATTTACTTTTTTTGGCATATAAACATGGAATAGATATTTTATAGTAAAACAAATGCAAAATGATAGAATTTTTCTAGTTTCTTTTAACGTTTACTTTCGTAAGAGGCATTTATAACGGTATCTTTTTCATTTAGAACAAAAACAAGGCGAATTTTTATTGATGAATGAATTTGCCTCGGTCTTAGAGTTGTATTTTTTATTGTGGTATTGCCATATTTCAAATAATTACATTTAACTAAAATAGACATATTTTTTAGTTTTTTCTAAGTAATTATTTTATGTTTATATAAAATAAAAGGTATTTTTGATTTTTCTTATAAAATTCAATTTAGAACAATATTTCCTCAAATATAATGAATGACAGCTCTTTAGCTGTTGTTTACGTTTTGACTAACAGCTGTTGTTTACGTTTTGCCCAACAGCTGTTCCTTTAAAACGTGGGAGAGTACAAAAAGGAGAACGAAAAAAATATGTGGTGTAATACAAAAACAAAAACTTTGTTTTTATCTAGTTGTTTTTTAACAACTACGTAATTTGCAACATAATAAGTACATACAACACGCATTTCGGCTAAAAAGACATAAACAAGGTCATGGAAAACAATAAAGGATATCGGGCACCGGTGTAAAATAATATACAGAAAATATATTGCAAATATTTTTCACGGCTGGATTAAAATTAAAAAAAATGTGTTGTTAAGAAACAAATTCAAATCTGTAATACTTAAAAAAAGTGCTAATTTAAAAACTGCTCTTGAAAAAAGAAAAATTGGCAAAAACTATTGTAAAAAATCAAATACCTAAATAATTTATTTAACTATATTAATATTTAAAAATAACTTATTGGTGTTGCTAACGCCTATGATGGCCACAAGTTGTTTAAGGAATCAACAAAACCAAAAAATTAATTTAACTTATTTGTCACAATACTTGAACTCAAAAATTTTGATATTATCATCAGTATTTCAACAATACGCACCACCTTTCATCATACGATATACCGACCGTGAACTAGACGGCAAGTTGGAGATTTACTAAGAAGTTGTTTACTACTAATAGGGTGTTGGTTCATAAACAAGAGTTTAACAAAAAAAAAAAAAAAAAATAGTGTGGGAATAAATACATTTAAGCAATAATGTCTTCAAGTGGTGGTGAGGGTGGCGAAGGCGTAACTGAAGATTCTTTAGAATCTTCTTTATCTGCCTTCCAAACAATGCCCAATGATTTTCGTTCAGCATTGGATGATTTTCGCAACAATTGGCAAAGAGAATTACAACAGAAACAACAACCTAAACCCAACACTAATGAAGACCCAGCTGAGCAGCAGACGCCTCTAACGGCCGAAGAACTGCAAGAAGCAGCAGATGTTCTGGCACCGCTCGTCAATGATGAACAGGCCGAGCAGCAGGCATTAGCTAAAAATCTTTTCCACAAGGCCGTAGAACTGGAGCAAAGTGGCAAAGTATATGATGCCATACCATTCTACCGTAAGGCCGTACAAATTGAACCCAACATTGAGTTCAAGTACTATGAACATCAAAAACTTAAAACTAACGTACAAAATCCGATTAAAGTGGTTTTAAATACCACCTCGGTTCCAGAGGCTAATGAAGATTTGTTGGAAGAGGATTTGCCAGAGGATTTATATGAGAAATTTCAATTGGATTTGTCACACAATCAGCATGGTCAACTAATACAGAGTAGTCGTGATCCTGGTATCATTACGACAGAAATGCATATTTCAGAATTGCCACCGGAATTGCTGATTTATATATTGCGTTGGGTTGTTTCCAACCAGCTGGATATGCGTTCATTGGAACAGTGTGCCGCCGTATGCAAGGGCATGTACATACTGGCCAGAGATGAGGAGTTATGGAAGTCGGCATGTGTTAAGTAAGTTATCGTTAAAAAATAAGAAACAGTTTAACCGAAAGATCTTGAAGCATAAAACCTGGTCTAGTATAGACCTTAGTCCAGACTAGTTTAAAATATATCTTGACAGGAGGCTATAGACAAAGATATATTTTAAACTACAGTCTGGACTATAGTATGAAAAAGACTACAGTTTGGACTATTGTGGATTATAGTCCGGACTATTGGACTAGTGTCTGGATTTTTGCGCTGATTATAGTTTATTATATGCCTCGTCTATATATATTTTGAACTTAGGCCTCGTCTAATAGTTTATAGCCCAGTAGATTGCAGTATATATTTTTAGACAAAATTATTCCATATTTAATTATTATTCTTTTGTTTTTCTTTTTCAGAGTTTGGGGCCACAATGTGGGCACCCTTACCCATACGTCTGCAGACGATGAAAAATCTTCTCTAGGTGACGGCCTTTGTCCTGTCATACCACGCTACTCAACATGGCGTCAAATGTTTATAGATCGTGAACGTGTTCTTTTCAATGGGTGCTACATTAGTAAAACTACTTACTTGCGTATGGGTGAAAATAGTTTCCAAGATCAATATTATCGTCCAGTACAGTTAGTAGAATACTATCGTTATATACGTTTTCTACCCGACGGCACCGTACTAATGATGACCAGCTCCGATGAACCCTCCCAGGGTGTGACTAAACTTAAAAATCTACATCAATTGCGACCGGATATTTTAAAGGGCCAATATCGTTTGTTTGGTTCAACTTTAAGTATTGTGGTTAGCAAGCAACAAGGAAAATTCATAACAAATCCTACCACCGGTGGTGGTGGATACACAAGACACAATAGGCGTGGCAGTATGGCATATGATGAGGGGGCTTTTAATAGTACAAAATATTGTATAGAATTTCGTATATTGAATAAATCAAAGAGAAAGTTTGCCCAGTTGATGTGGTTGCATTATTCGGTGGTCCAGACACGTAATAAACACGAAACAACTTCCGAATTTGAGTTAACCCCTTCTAAGTATCCACCCTTATGGTTTTCACCCGTACGCAGTTATCATTTAGATGCCGATGCTCCATTAGCTTAAGATTTGGGAGGTGATTTTATTCTACTTGCCGACTAGTTACACACGGATGAAAGATTAAAGTGAATTAATAATGTTTATTTGTTTAAATATAGATTTAATAAAAGCAATTTACCGAGTGTTATTTTAATGATTTCCTTTAAATTTATCGTAAAAGTGTATATATTAATATTATTCTAAATAAAAATATATTGAAATCTATTATGAATGAAAATTCATTCGAAAAAGATTTAAAAAAGTTTAAATGACTATAAATTAACAATACGAGTTAACTTTTTAAAACCCTTTGGGGAATTGGGTCTACTAATTGTCTACTTTCATTTCCCGTTGGTCTTGTTCGGGAAAGATTCGAAGAGCCAAAAATTGTTGAATAGTGTTATAGTTTATTGTCTCGTCTATATTTGGCTACAGACTCGATCAGATCGTAATACCATCATCCGAAAGATATTGGATCTGCCAACATTGAGGAAATAAGGCAAGGTGAATAATTGAAATAAGGATTGTGTTCTTAATGTAATAATATTTCCGCTGCTGTTGTCAGTTAAATCGAATGTTCTTCAGATTTGATCAAATACCATCGTTCAGCAAATTGCCGATGTAAAAAACTTTATTTTGAGTTCGTTTCTGTTTTCTTTTCCTTTTCTTCAACTAGAATTTTACACTAAAATTTTATGTATTTCATTCTCATTATTACTCGAAATTATTTGTTCTTTATTTTTAAAACTACTTTAAAGCATAATTTAAGAATAGGTTTTTTTATATGTTTGTTTAATATTTGTTGTTTTTTTAGTTTTTCATTAAAATTAGACATTTTGAAATCACATTATTGTTCGCTTAACAAAAACAAGAAAGTATCGGAAGTATAGAGAGTTTAGAATAGATCTTAAAACTAAATATGTATTAAGAAAGAGAATTAAAGGAAAAATTCTAAATAAACAACTATAAGTAAATAAATAATATTCAATAAATAAATGCTAAAAACAATAAGTGCTTTAATAAAATGTTGTTTTTTTATACCTATCATCATGTTAAAGTGGACTGGAAAAATTGACCAAAGCTCTAGGCCGTTTTTATTATACTTTAGTAGTTAAGTTTAAATAAGTGGATAATGTTTACTTTTGTTTAAGATAAAAATTTTCATAAACAACTATTAAAAATTAAGTGTTTTTTTTTTTTTTTTGTTAAAATCCTTTTCTTATAGTTAAGTTTGTTTCCGTTATGAAGCCGTTTAATTTTGGGGACAGAGAATCATTTTTTTTTTTTTAATTTTATAATTAAATAAATAAAACCAACTATTACTCATCATTATTACATGACTAACATTATACATATGTAATTAATTCAATCCTTGAGTTTTCTTTTTAATATTTGTTTTCAAAAAGTTTAGTGGAGTGGTAAAGTTTGAGTATGTTCTGTTTACTGTTATAGTTTAGATATTTCATATTCGTTTCTATTTTCTTTCTTTCTTTCGTTTGTTTTCCTCTATAAGGTACCTTCCTATGTTTAGTTTAGTTAAAAGATTTTTTGTACACATTTTATGTGTACATTTATTTGGTTTTATGGTTTCCGTTGTTGTAGTTTCGTTTTTGAAATTATTTTTCAACTTGTACTATAACCTTTTCATAGCGCATTTTATCTGGTGTATCCCAACAACTTTTCAAGCAGGTGAAAACCAATACGTTGCCATATTCTAGAGGAGCATTTTCATTATTTTGCAACATTTTTAATTTTGGTATAAGAGTCGATAGGATCTGGACTTCACATATAGTATCACCATTGCAATTAGGGCATTTTGGTGTGGGCTCTTGTAGAGGCGAAATTAAAAGTGGTAAAGTATCACGAGAGTATCTAGAAAATGTTATAGGTTTAAATTAATAAATAAACAAGTACCTATAGTTCATTTTTTGTATCATTACCTTAAGACTTGTCCGGGATTCTGCTGAATGGTGCTTAAAAAGTGATGAAACATAAGATCACCATGAGCCGGTAAGGCTTTCTCATAACCCTCCTGATCCTCAGCAGCAACTCCACCTACACCACCGCTTCCACCAGCAGCCACACCGCTATTCGGTGAATGGGCAGATTCATCTTGTTTCTTATATTCTTGATATAATTCACGTATATGTTCGGCAGACAAGGAACCACCATATTGCTCATACTCTTTAGCTGCCACATTTGCCTCCACATCTACGGCTACGAAATATGGTTTTAGGGTTAAATCCGATAATTTAGCTAAAGGACCCAGAGACGCTGGCGTAGGTGTATGCTTTAACAAGGCTATTAGATCACGTTCAGGCTTTTGAGGAGTTTCGACTAGAACAACATCATTCTCGGGACCTTCGATTTCAGCACATATTGTAGCAGATGCACCACTACAGGCATAATTACCCTCCTTTTCAACAGAAGCTGCGGCGGCTATTTCTCCTGCAGCACAGTTGGCATTGGGATCTTCTGCTAAGTTTTGACCAGCTCTTAAATCGATTTGATTAAAACTCATTAAAAGATCATTGTCCATGGAATTGCTTTCATCTTCATCATCTTCTTCATGGGCTAAAATATCATCTTCATCCTCGCCCTCATCCGACTCCAATTGGTGGTTGGCTGAAGGTAAATTGACATTTTTGTTATTAATAACATTACCGTTTTCCTCATTCGATTCTTGGGGATCATCTGCTTCCGTGTCCATTTGTTCTATAGATTGCTCAACTACAGCAACACTACCTGTATCTTCGCCCCAGTCATCGGTACCAGAACACCAGGATATTTTACCCGATTGCTGCTGCTTATGCTCTTTATTCTTTTTCTTTTGTTTACCACCACCACTGGCCGATGACGATGTTTTAGCTGAAGCAGCCACTACTTTCATAATATCACAGTGCTCCGATGGTGTATCCAAGTGTTGGGTTCTTACACACAACCAACTTTTTGTGTTCTGCGAACACACCGGATTTAAACAAGCAAACACGTATAGCGTACGATGAAATTGCGACATTTCCAATGGAGCATATAGCTGTACAATCAATGGACGGGCTGTGCCACATAAAGGACAAGAGGGTATTTTTATTTCACCATTAGGCCAATCCTAGTGTTTTGTAGTTTTGTGAGGAGCACATGTTGGAAAAATCAATTAACTCAACAGACGTACAAACACACAATTCTAACTTACCGCTGTTCCTCCAATTTTATTTAATGTACTATTCAATAGGGATACATGTTTTTCAGTGATTTCCTCATCATCATAGCCCAGATAAACTGTGCTCTTATTTTTGGCCATCTTGTATGTGATTTTTTCGCAATTTAATTATAGTTTTGATTAAAAATGTTGGTTTTTGTTTGCAATTGTGAAAAAACGGACGACTGGTTTGATAAAAGTGTTGAAAAATGTAAAGAATTTCGATGACTTTAATTACAGTGTTGTAAAGTGGTGAAATGAAAATAAATGATAGATTGGAATTTTTACCCTTCGTGGGAAGGATATATACAAGTTTGTCATTCCGCTTGTAATTTCTACAATACATATAACTTTCCGAGTCTATAATAAATATATTCCGAGTCATTATAGATAGTCTGTCTGTATATATATGACAGTCTGTCTGTCCGTAATAATAATATTGAGATATAATTTGACTCATGTGTTTTGTATATATACAAATCATCCTGTGAAAGTTTTTTGGATCGGCCATAGCTCCCAAATAAAGCCTTCGGAATTACTTAAACGTAAATAACAAGAGATGGGAAAAGGGTAAAAACCAAAAAAAAATTGGTAAATACCCAGTAAAATGGATAAATTGAGTAAAAATGGGTAAATACCTAGATGTTTACAAAAAAGCTGCGAACTCCGTAACGACTCTAAACGGCTCCAAATTTACTTTTAATACGGAATCTAACGATACTATTTTTTGGTTTGCTCTTTTATAGTTATGGATTTATGGACGTTCAAAAACTGTATATATAAAGTTAAAAATCTCGAAAATATATTGCTCGATTGAAAAAAAATAACATGATATGAAAGGTCGTGGAAAGGCCTTTCAGATGATTATTAACCCATTGAGTGCCAAAAGCTAAAAAAAGGGTTTTGAAACATGTCTTTTTTTGTAAAAGTGCCCATAACTCGAAAAGTGGCCAATATAAGCACATATACATTTCCCAAGTATTATATAGAAAACATAATTAGCTTTTCATATGGTACATATAACATAGTGTTAACCGAAAATGCCGAAAATATATGTATGTAGTTGAATATAATTATTTAAAAAAAAACAATTTTAATGTTAGTAATTATTAGATGATAATAACTTTTAAGTGATTTTTCAAAAAAAAAAAAAAAATAGTTTTTTAAATGTTATACATATAAACGCATTACAGAAAAAAATCTATTTTAAAGTTCTTCATTTTTATATCTTTTTCCGGGACTTTCATAAATATATATAATTCTGAAGTGCAGAATTACAAAAAACGTGGAAGAAAAGATGGAGAAAGGATGCGATTTAATATTTATTTTATCCCACAGAGAAAATTGAAAATTTAAAAACTTAACGTAGTTGAAAACTTAGCCGGCTTACATTCGATATTAAGCCGCCGCCGACATGTTTAGTGTCAGTCGCCGCCGACCTTAATATTTGTCGGCGCAGGGCTCTGGTGTGAGTGTAAAGAAAAATATAAAATTGCTTCGTTGTTTACTCATCAAATGGATAAATATACAAAATAAAATTGCATTTTTAATAAATAAAAGTAAGTTTTAATAAACTATTATCATAAAAATAGAAAATTTACCTAGTGCTTAACAAAAAAATAATTCTATAAACTATACATATAACTTAAAAAAACATGAAAAAATATTTCAATTAGCAACTAGACCCACCCATAAGAAAAAACCAATAAATTAATGTGTTTATGTATGTTTATCTCTGCAGGTCTCGTTTAGCGGAGCACCCCCTTTTGATTGCAATTTCCGCTAAAACATTGAATTTATTCTACAACAATGACGGAAAAAATTACTTTGGCCGATGCTTTATCCAATGTGGAAGTCTTAGACGAGTTGTCACTGCCCGATGAGCAGCCTTGCATAGAGGCCCAACCATGTTCGGTGATATATAAGGCAAATTTTGATACCAACTTTGAGGATCGTAATGGTTTTGTTACGGGTATAGCCAAGTATATCGAAGAAGCTACCACTCATGCAAATTTGGTAAGTGCACAGTGACCTAAATGCATATTTGTAAATAGAATTAACATAGATATTTTGCTTTACTTTTAGAATGTCTTACTGGATGAAGGCCAAAAGCATGCTGTTATGCTGTACACTTGGCGTTGCTGTTCGCGCGCTATACCACAGCCCAAATCCAATGAACAACCCAATCGTGTAGAGATTTATGAGAAAACCGTAGAAGTTTTGGCACCCGAGGTTAATAAACTATTAAATTTCATGTATTTTCAACGTAAAGCCATAGAGGCCTTTTCCGTAGAAGTGAAACGTCTCTGTCACACAGAGAAACGCAAAGATTTCGTTTCGGAGGCATATCTTTTGACATTGGGCAAATTTATCAACATGTTTGCTGTTTTGGATGAATTAAAAAATATGAAGTCCAGTGTTAAAAATGATTACAGTACCTATCGACGTGCTGCCCAGTTTCTTAAAGTCATGTCGGATTCTCACACCCTGCAGGAATCACAAAACTTGTCTATGTTTTTGGCCACACAGAATAAGATACGCGACACTGTCAAGGATACTTTGGAGAAAATTGTGGGCTATGAGGATTTGCTATCGGAAGTGGTGAACATTTGTGTACATATGTTTGAGACCAAAATGTATTTGACTCCGGAGGAAAAACATATGTTGGTAAAGGTTATGGGCTTTGGTCTTTTCCTTATGGACAGTGATGCTTGCAATATTAATAAATTGGATCAGAAAAAGAAAATTCGTTTGGATCGCATCGATCGCATATTTAAAAATCTTGAGGTGGTACCTCTGTTTGGTGATATGCAAATTGCACCCTTTAATTACATCAAGAGAAGCAAACACTATGATCCCAGTAAATGGCCTTTATCCAGTTCGAATGCTGTTAGCCCTCAGGCTGATTTAATGGTACATTTGCCGCAAATACGTGAAGATCATGTTAAATATATTTCCGAGTTGGCTCGTTATACTAATGAGGTTACCACCACGGTTAAGGAGAATCCTTCGGATGCCGAAAATAGAGCTACTTCTGATTTGGCTTTGCGTGGTTTGCAGCTGTTGTCGGAATGGACAAGTGTTGTAACGGAATTGTATTCTTGGAAATTATTACATCCAACCGATCATCATCAAAATAAAGAATGTCCCGTAGAGGCGGAAGAGTATGAAAGAGCAACTCGCTATAATTACACATCGGAGGAGAAATTTGCTTTAATTGAAGTTATTGCTATGATTAAGGGATTGCAGGTTAGTGTTGCCATAGTTTAACAAAAAAGGACACTTTTATATTTTTAAATCCTTTTAGGTTCTTATGGCCCGCATTGAAACCGTACTCTGCGAAGCCATTCGTCGCAACATCTATTCGGAGTTACAGGATTTCGTACAGCTCACTTTACGTGAACCTTTGCGTAAAGCGGTGAAAAATAAAAAGGATCTTATACGCAGTATTATAATGTCGGTGCGAGAAACTGCTGCCGATTGGCAAAAGGGCTATGAACCCACAGACGATCCTGTCATTAAGGGTAAAAAGGATCCTGATGGTGGTTTTCGCATAAATGTGCCCCGTCTTAATGTCGGACCTTCTTCCACTCAACTCTACATGGTGCGTACCATGTTGGAGTCCCTAATTGCCGATAAGTCGGGAGGAAAACGTACATTGCGTAAAGATATCGATGGCAATTGTCTTATGCAAATTGATTCTTTCCACAAGACCTCCTTCTATTGGAGCTATTTGTTGAATTTCAGTGATACCCTACAAAAATGTTGTGATTTATCGCAACTTTGGTATCGTGAGTTCTATTTGGAGATGACAATGGGCCGTAAAGTCAATAAGTGTATGGTGAGACATCAACATAATGAGGAATGCAAGGATTTGATAACTATGGAAAAACGCATACAATTTCCCATTGAAATGTCTATGCCTTGGATACTAACCGATCATATATTACAAACTAAGGAGCCCTCAATGATGGAGTAGGTTGCGTGAAGTTTATTGTGGTTAATGTTTATAAATATTTTATTGTTTTTTCTTCTAGATTTGTTTTATATCCTTTGGATTTGTATAATGATTCAGCACATTATGCCTTGACTGTTTTTCGTAAACAATTCTTATATGATGAAGTTGAGGCTGAGGTTAATTTATGTTTCGATCAATTTGTTTATAAATTGAGTGAACAGATTTTTGCTCATTACAAGCAGTTAGCGGGAAGGTAGGTGTATAGAAATGTTTTAAGAAAATGTTGAGTATAAATCAAGATTAAAAAATTGTTATCGATATCACAGTTTTCTTTTTTTAGTTCTTCTTCTGTTCTAGTTCGGCTTTAGTTCTGTTCTAGTACTGTTCTAGTTCTGTTTTAGTTCTGTTCTAGTTCTGTTCTAGTTCTGTTCTAGTTCTGTTCTAGTTCTAGTTCTGTTCTAGTTCTTTTCTAGTTCTGTTCTAGTTCTGTTCTATTGCTGTTCTAGTTCTGTTCTAGGTCAGTTCTAGTTCATTTCAAGTTTTAGTTCTTAATTTTTAAAGAAAATTAAGTTTGATTCCTACACATTTTTTAAATTAATTAAGCTAAAACAAATCTTGATCTTCTGTTTATTTAGTATTTTCTTGGATAAACGTTTCCGCTTAGAATGCGAAGTTTTGGGCTTCAATTTTCAATCGTATCCACGTAACAATCGTTATGAAACTCTACTTAAGCAGAGACATGTACAGCTTTTGGGTAAGACATAAAAAAACAACAACTATTTTAAACAAATAATAATCATTAAAACTATAAAACTTTAGGACGTTCTATTGATTTGAATAAATTAATCACGCAACGTATAAATGCAAATATGCATAAAAGTATTGAATTGGCCATAAGCCGTTTTGAAAGTAACGATATAACAGGCATAGTGGTAAGTAAAGTAAACTTAAGCGTTAAACTAGATTGTTAAATTGTTCTTCTTAAATAATTAAGGAATTGGAAGGTCTATTGGAGTGTAATCGCATTTGTCATAAATTACTAACGAAATACTTGGCATTGGATAATTTCGAATCTATGGTTAAAGAGGCCAATCACAATGTTTTGGCGCCATATGGACGTGTCACTTTACATGTGTTTGTGGAATTGAATTATGATTTTTTGGTTAATTATTGTTATAATGCAGCTACCAATAGGTGAGTTTAGAAAACTTATTTTTAATTCTGCAAACTAAACTAATGTTCTTGCAACAGATTTGTGCGCAGTAAAGTTAATTTGGCATCCTCTCAGCCCATGCAACGTGAAAAGCCACCACAAATGTCACACTATTATCTGTGGGGTTCGAAACAATTGAATGCCGCCTATTCTACCCAATATGGTCAGTATACCGGTTTTGTAGGTGCACCACATTTTCATGCCATGTGTCGTCTTCTGGGCTATCAGGGCATTGCTGTTGTTATGGATATCATTCTAAAGGACATTGTTAAGCCTTTGATACAAGGTTCCCTTTTGCAATTTACCAAAACTCTAATGAGCGCCATGCCAAAATCTTGTAAGCTGCCTAGATGTGAATACGGTTCACCGGGTGTTTTAAGCTATTATCAAGCTCATTTAACCGATATTGTGCAATATCCCGATACCAAAACTGAACTATTTCAATCGTTCCGTGAATTTGGTAATTGCATTATATTCTGTTTGTTGATTGAACAGGCTTTGTCACAGGAGGAGGTGTGTGACCTATTGCATGCTGCATTATTTCAAAATATATTCCCAAGACCATTTTGTAAGGGTGAGTAGAGAAGTTTTTCCTAAAATTTGTCATTTTATTCTTTTTTATTTCATTTATTTTCTTTCTCTCTGTAGAAAACGAAAAACCAGAAGCCAAACAAAAACGTTTGGAGGCACAATTTGCTAACTTACAAATTGTCTCGAATGTAGAGAAATTGGGCACCGCTAAGGTAGGTTAACACACAAACCTTTAAGTTCCATAGTTACTTAGATGTTTTAATGCCTTTACAGCAAGCCATGATTGCCCGTGAAGGAGATTTATTGACACGTGAACGTCTGTGCTGTGGCCTAAGTATTTTTGAAGTAATTTTAAATCGCATCAAAAGCTATTTAGATGATCCTGTCTGGACTGGGCCGGCACCAGCTAATGGCATTATACATGTGGATGAGTGTTCCGAATTTCATCGTTTATGGTCAGCTTTACAGTTTGTTTACTGTATACCTGTACGTGGTACCGAATACACTATAGAGGAATTATTTGGTGAGGGTCTTAACTGGGCTGGTTGTGCTATGATTGTTTTATTGGGTCAACAGCGACGTTTTGAGGCTTTAGATTTTTGCTATCACATATTGAGAGTTCAAAGGGTGGATGGCAAAGATGAAGATGTGAAGGGAATTGTGAGTATTTGTATAAAACATATTTTAATTCGATTTTTCAATTATTTAACTTTCCTTAAAAGAAACTTAAACGCATGGTGGATCGTATAAGACGTTTCCAGGTTTTAAATTCCCAAATATTTGCGATTTTAAATAAATATCTTAAAGGCAGTGATGTGGAAGGTTCAAATGTAGAACATGTACGCTGTTTCCCGCCACCACAACATCCTTCAGTGATTTCTTCACATTATCAAGATCCCAATAAATTAAGACAAAGTATGAATAATTAAACGAACAACAACAACAGTAACTATTAAAATCCAAACAATATTAAATGTAATCAATCTATACAAATTTGAAATATTCAAGAATATTAATTAACATTTATTAAAACTTTATTTTTAGTTTATAAGTTTAATATTTCATATTAACACAAAACAATATTGTCTTAGCCAGTATACAAATACAAGTATTTTACATAAATTCTGTTTTTTTAACCATATTTTTCAAAATTTATTTCAAATATTAAAAAAATCTTTAAACTTTAACCCCTTAAGAGGCCAAAGATCATATATTTCATTTATTAAGCTTTCTTCTCTAAATAATTTGGCTTGAATTTTTTTATTATTATTTTTACGTAAATATATGTGAGGCTTTTTTTTTATAAAATTAAGCATTTTTAATACAAGAGCACATACTCAAGACAATGAAGATGAGAATGATGATTGAAAATTGAAAAGAAACATACAACAATGAAGGCATTTTTTGCACAAGAAAGACACACAATAAATAAATGGAATTGCATTTTGTCTCTCTTTTTTTATTATAACAATTATATTTATTATTACACTGCAATTATTATATTAGATGGTACGGAGTTTTTTTTTGTATTACAATAAATATTTAATCATTTACATAAATATATAAACGTATAAACGAATGAATGATATGAATTGCAATTAAACAATTTAAATAATAAACATTTACATATTTGTACAAGTAGTAAAATAAAAGTTTGGTTATGTGTTGTTTTCATTCTTTAAATCGACGGTGAGGGATTGTAATTGCGAAC